AAACGTGTTTTCAGAAAAAAGAAGAAAGAACAAGAAAAACGTGAGCGTGAGCAAATCGAGATGTACAGGAGTCAGAATGAAGTCCGGAAATTTTACCAACGAGTAAAACACCAAACCGAAGGCTTTGGTACAGGCACATCCTCCCGTAGAGATGAAGAAGGAAACCTGGTGACAGATACAGACAGCGTGTTGAGGATCTGGAAGGAGCATTTCGAAAAACTACTAGTATCAAATAGTGGCGATGAAGAAGATACCCTAGAACCAATAAGAGATGATGGTATAGAGTGTATACCCCCTAGCCAAGATGAGGTCATAAAAGCAATTAATCGGCTCAAGAACAACAAAGCAGCAGGAGCCGATGGGTTACCAGCCGAACTATTCAAGACTGGTCAGATGCTGGTCAGGAGCATGCACCAGCTGATTAACACAATTTGGCTAGATGAATGCATGCCCAATGATTGGAACCTCAGCATCCTGTGTCCCGTGCACAAAAAAGGAGACAAGACGATATGTGCCAACTATAGAGGAATAAGTCTCCTTCCCATCGCATATAAAGTGCTATCCAGTGTGCTGTGTGAACGATTGAAGCCAATGGTCAATGACATCATCGGACCATACCAATGCGGCTTCAGACCTGGCAAATCCACCATTGATCAGATTTTTACTCTGCGCCAAATCCTGGAAAAGACCAACGAAAAACACATCGACACATACCACCTATTTGTCGACTATAAAGCCGCCTTCGACAGCCCTATCCGTTCAGAGGTGTTTAAAGCCATGTCTGCGTTCGGCATTCCTGCAAAATTAATACGGCTATGCAGGATAATTTTAAGTGGCACAAGGTCAGCCGTTAAAGTAGGAAAGGACATATCGGAGCCCTTCAATACCGAACGAGGATTCAGACAAGGTGACAGTTTGTCGTGTGATCTTTTTAACATCCTACTGGAAAAGGTCATACGAGACGCAAAGGTGAACAGAAATGGCACTCTGTACACCAAACAACACCAGTTACTCGCCTACGCCGATGACATCGATATAATTGGTCGAACATTGCGAGCGGTAACAGCCACCTTTGAACAAATTGAAAAGGAGTCTGCCAAAGTGGGTCTGGCAGTAAACGGCGAGAAGACCAAGCTGATGGTAACAATGCGCAAGACGTCCAGTAGACTCGGACCAACTGTGGAACTTGAGAACTACAGCTCCGAGGTAGTTAAAGACTTTATATACCTTGGTACCGCCATAAATAAAACGAATGATATCAGTTTTGAAATTCGGAGAAGGATTGTGATGGCCAACAGATGCTACTATGGTTTAAGTAAGCAGTTTAGAAACAAGGCCACCTCTCGCCAGACCAAACTCACACTTTACAAGACGCTGATACTACCCGTGCTATTATATGGATCAGAAGCATGGGTACTTGCGCAAGCAGATGAGGCAGCGCTTGGGGTGTTTGAAAGATCTACGGGCCGATCTGCGTCGACGGTGAATATCGGCGTCGAATGAACCACGAGCTCTACAATTTATACGCGGACATCGACATAGTCAGTCGTATTGAGCTGCAGCGACTACGGTGGCTAGGCCATGTTGTGCGGATGAATGAAGATGCCCCAGCTCAAAAGGCATATAAAAATGAGCCTACTGATGGTTCCCGTAGAAGGGGAAGGCCACGAATTAGATGGAAAGACCAAGTAGAAAACAACATCTTGGAACGTGGTCTTCCAAATTGGTGGACCGTTCTGTAACAAGCCAGCTAAGTAAGTAAGCACAGTAGACCTGAAGTTGGCCAGCCAGCGACCTGTTGACCTGTTCAGGTCAGCCTCGAAAATGCACCCAACCCAATGCATGGTGGATTCAGTTCCGACAAACGGAACAGAACCAAGGTCCGGTTTTCTTTCTATCCCGACGTGGACCAGGAGTGTTCGAAGCAGGCAACCCGGGATACAATGCCTCTCCTATGTAAAAAAATACGGCACGAACATGTAGTAGTAGTTGAGGTGGCAGCCCCTGATCGAAGAATTCCTCCGAGTCAATCCGGTGCATAGAACCGGCCGCCGCGCAGTGGGAAAAAATACCGATCTAGCGCGCAGAAAATCAAAAAATGAAGTTGAAGGAAACTTTAAAACATTAATGCAGTTTTAAAGTAGAGTGTTGAGAGTACTTAAGTCCGTATAAAATAATCCGAATTAATAAGCTAGAACGGAATAACGGTACATTTAAAACAGAAAATTTTTCCAATGTTAAAAATGGCATTTTTTTGCTATAAAATTGCGATGGTCGTGTGCATTCTGTGAATATATTATTATAAAATTTTGTCCATTTTTGATATATAGTATTGGTATTTAATTAAATGGTATAGTTATATAACCCATAAGTTATTTTAATTTAGGTGTTTCGGGCTAAATATATGTAAGGCCCGTTTTTTTTAATTCCTTCAATTAAAATAGGGGTTTTGTATGGAGTGCAGTCGAGTTCAGCTTTGATTTTTGTTTTATTTTTCTTGTGTGTCTGTCTAGAACATCATACTAAATTTTTTCCTGCGACTTCCTGCGATTCTCGGATTTATGACAATTTTTTGAAAAAATGCCAATTTTGTGTAGGAAGCTTTTTTAAGGTTTTGTTCAAATAAAATTAAAAATTTGTGAATTTTTTTGATATAATTCATCAAATATGACTTGGAATAGATCACAGCATAGCAGATAAGAAAAAAAACAAGTTCAAAATGTCCATCCTAAGGTTCAAGAGTACTGGGTGTGAGTATGAAAATGAGGGATTTAAGTAAGCTGCTCCAAACGTTGATTTTAAACTCATGCACTGAATATACATTTATTCCAAATGTCTTTCTAAATGAAAATTAAAATTACAACGAAATCGGTTGTAAGAGTCTTTTAAAATACCGCAGGTAAAGGGTCCACTTTATGAACCATGGAAAAATATCATTGGTGTAACATTCATATATACACTGTTTTACCTATATTTATGATTTTCGTGGAGGTGGAGTTTATGGACTTTTATTATACCTGTTATGGGGTTTCCAATGACTGACATGACTTCGGATGACTTTATGACTTTGTCATGCGAATTTCGTTAGGGTCGGATACAGGTATCAGTTACGAATGAATGCAAAAATACATATTATTTATAGATTTTTCTACCTATGAATGAAAAATCCGCATTTAACAAATGTTCATTCATAGATTTTTCTCATTCAATAAGTGTCAAAGAACGGGATTATACAAGTTATAAACAAGTGAATAGCGATTTATTTTAGTTCTTAAACAAGTGAAGTGGAAAAATGTCAATTTTGTACAGAGAGCTCTTTGAAGTTTGGATAAAATCTAAACATGGTTCTGATGTAAAAGAATATATATTAAATAGACTTACTGAGGAAATATTTATTCTTTTCGTGGAATTATATTCTTGGTTCTATATGCCTTCAAGCATACACAAAATATTAGTGCATGGAGCTGATATAATCAAATGTGCAGCTTTGCCCATAGGAATGTTGTCTGAAGAAGCCATGGAATCCAGAAATAAGGACTTTCGGAACTACAGGGAACTGTACACCAGAAAAATTAGTCGTGAGGAAACAATGAGGGATCTTTTTAATAGGTTGCTATTTTCTTCTGATCCAAAAATATCATGTTTGTCTCGTAGTACATCTCTTAGCCATCGATATAGTGAGCCACTATCTGAAGAAGTCCTTAAACTACTGGAGGATCCAATGCTACCAACTAATTCAGATCAAAACTCGGATTCTGAATGTGATTAGTATTTAATAAGTAACGCCTAAATTTTGTAAAATATATATAGTTTAATGTTTTAGATATGTAATATTTACAATAATAAAGATATATATAATAACAATAGTGTTTGGCCTTAACCCACTTTTTACCCTCCAAATGTTTCCGAATTTTTAAAAGAAGCTTCCATTCTAGGAGTACTATTAGTTATAACGAAAAATATTGCTTATTATAAAATATTTCAATTGCCTCAAAATAGTAATTTTCACCTAAAAATTTAAGCTTTCTCTAAAAAAAAATCGGCGCTTAATGGGTTAATAAAAAAAAAAATTGCCAAATTTTTTCATAAAATACTTAAAATTGTCCATCTAAATCTATTCTTATCCAAAATATCGATAAACATACAGTAAAACATCTACTTTGATTTTCTGCGCGCTAGATCTGCATTTTTTCCCACTGTGCGCCGTGGGATTGCTTTACAGTAGAAATTGTTGCCAATTTGAATAGATTTTACAGATTTTTTTATTTCTTTTCTTCTAAAATGACTAATCAGACTTAATTTACTAACACGGAGTTTTTTCTTTTTTTTTTTTTTGTATAATTTTCTTAATACCAACGGCATTTTAATTAACAATTCCAAAGTGTGCTAATTAGGCGTCCCTTTCAATATTTGACTTGTTTCCTAAATACCGTTTTATTTTACAAATATTTTACACAAGACCTGTTTCACGAGGACCATTATGTTTGTGTTTCTGGTTTTTATTTGCGTTCCTTGGTCGGTTGCCTTTTCACATTAAACTTGAAGAAAATTTGGTTATTTTTGAATTTTGTTAATTATAATTTTTATGGAAATTCCATCGAGATCTTTTAGTCCAGTTTTATCCGCACAGTCTTCATACTTTTTGCAACCACTGTGCAAAACAATATATCAATAATTTTCAGAAACTCTAACAATAGTATACTCGGATAACGTTTTGGCAAATAACAATCGGCTTATAGTGTTTCTTGATAACGTAAATTTATGAATTTGGATGAATATTAACTACTCAATAGTTTTCTTAGGCCAAAAATTATATCTCAATAACTCCATCTATTTTGGCCACCATTAATATGAAATCGCCAAATTGTGCGACATCGTATCTTTTCTTCTACCATAGTCTTCTTTATTAATAATGTTAATCCTTTTTTGTTTAGTTTTTTTTTATAAAATGATTACATAGCTTTTTTATAAATTTTATTTAAACGCATATTAATAATATAACATACTTTAAGATAAATTTCTTTGAAGGTTACATTGGAGTTCTTTTAAAGTTTGCTGCATGCGTTCAGTACCAGGTTTTTGATAACAGATATTCAAACAAACGGACACCATATCCTGAGCTTTTCCTATGATGCGTCTTCTGTTGATATAAAAAATGAAAATCATATGTAGTAATAAGTCCAACGTTTAGATTTTTATATAAATACCTAGATCGAGACCATAGTGCATGCGCGTTATTCGACAACAAGGATATTACACGTATTGACGATTGGACCAAATGCCATTCATTGCCTTCATTAGCCCAAATTCTTTCATTAATGGAGATCATCCTGTAAAAGAAATTATAATATTGACGAATTTAAATAACATTGCTTAATATTTTCTTAAAACATCTTTAAATTTATAAATTATTTATGTTGGTTTTTATGTACGAATGCTAGGAACGATTACCATTTTGTTCGTTTTTGCAAAGTTTATATTCATAATTATAGTTCCGCCAACTTTGTTTTCTATTTCAGGAACGTTGCAGCCTGATTGGCTTCGGCCAGTGTGAATCAAAAAACATCATCGTGTTCTTTCTTTATTAGACTTTCGTCTAGCCAGATTTCTTCTAATGCCATGTGTAGACAAGCGTTGTTCGCTCTCTCATTCGTTGTTCGACCCTTAATTATGAAGTAATTACTTAGTTCCCCACACAAAATTTTCTGAGCGAACACCGAATTTTGTACATTGTTCAATTTGAATCTCTCTCTGAATAACCTAGAAAATTGTCCCATCCCTAACAATTGAGAGCATTTATCAAAAAAAAAATTAATTTTGACAGCTTGAAAATATTTATAAAATTTTCAAACTTTTTTAGTAAAATTGAAAATGATGAATGAAAAGTTAAAAATTGTCTAGTTTTTATATATGCAGCAGGATGTAATTTTTGTTATCTTCATAATGCAACTTGAATTTCTATCCTTTTTTTTCTAATTAGCGTACAAAACAAGAAACAAATTTGGGAAAACTCAAACAAAAAATTCTCCAAATTTTTATATGTGACATTTGAATTTAGAAAATATAAAAATGTATGAAAACAACAATATTTTTAGAAAAAATGGAAAACATGAATTAAAAGTAAATAAATATGGGTTCATACTATAGTCAGGAGAAAGAGAATTCATTTTTCTATTTAGATCCATAAGTGATTCATGCAAATTTTAGAATTTTGGTGTAAAACAAGAAACAAAAAGTTTGAAATAAAAGACTCTGATGACATGAATTAAGAATGGTGCTGTATGAACGGGTTCATTCATGTACGTAATTCTGAGAGCGAACTACGTTGTTCGTCAGAACATGGCATAATACGGTGCGAAGTTGGTTTTTACAATCAACCCTATTCCGTATTGCCATGTACAGACGAGCGTTGTTCGCTCTCTCATTCGTAGTTCAACCCTTAATTATGAAGTAATTACTTAGTTCCCCATACAAAATTTTCTGAGCGAACACCTACTTTTGTACGTTGTTCAATTCGAATCACTCTCTGAATAACGAAGAAATTTGTCCCATCCCTAACAATTGAGAGTATTTATCGAATATAAATTAATTTTGACAGCTTGAAAATATTTTTAAAATTTTCAAACTTTTTCAGTCAAATTGAAAATGATGAATGAAAAGTAACAAATTGTCTATGCAAATTGTATGCAGAAGGATCTAAATTTAGTTGTCTACATAATGCAATATGCATTGCTTTCCCTTTTGTTCTAATTAGCGTACAAAACAAGAAACAAATGTGGGTCCACAAAAAAAAAATCCAATTTTTTATATGTGACATTTGAATTGAGAAAATATAAAAATGTATGAAAACAACAATATTTTCCGAAAAAATGGAAAACATGAATTAAAAGTTAATAGACATGGGTTCATACTATAGTCAGGAGAAAGAGAATTCATTTTTCTATTTAGATCCATATGTGATTCATGCAAATATGTTACAATTTTGGTGTAAAACAAGAAACAAAAAGTTTGAAAAAATAAAATCTGATGACATGAATTAAGAATAGTGTTGTATGAACGGGTTAAATCATGTACGTAATTCTGAGAGCGAACTACGTTGTTCGAATGCCCGTCAGAACATGGCATATGTCGTCGTAGTTGTCGACGTCGTTTCTTTGTCGACATCATTTCGACATCGATTTGGTATTCGTAACACTCATGCGACCAAGATCTATTAATAAGGTCACCAAGATAGCAATCGAAATCGGAAAACAGCTGTTTTTTCTCAAGTCTAATGTCAAAAATTTCGACTTTGTTTACGTTTTCATAATGGAAGTCAATTCACAATAATGCATTTTGCCAGCAAACTTGAGAGGTATCGATAATCAGCTGGTCTCCCTTGGTGACCTTATTTATAGGCCATGCATGCGACGATGTCGACTATTTATCGATAATATCAACAAAACAAAAAACACATCTCTAAAATGATAGTCAGCTGTTTATTTTGTTTGATATTTTGGCTTATGTTGAGTTTAGGGGCTTATGTCCAATTTTTCTGAAATTTTTACCACAGGTAGATCTCGTCTCCCTGATGACGAAATATATAAATTAATCACCGATGATGGTAATATTGACGGCTATTAAGAATTGCATGTTTAAAATGTTCGATCGCGTAGACGAATTTTCCATTTGTCATAGACAGCCATCCAAGAATGGCTATTGAAAAAAAAAATAGTTGAAAAAAATTGATTTCTGCCTGTCCATAGGAGAATGTTTTAAATCACTGACCGAAGGTTGGCTATTTTGAATAATTTTTAATTAAAACGAATTTATGTGAAAATATAATGTGTACGCTTTGCAACCATACCAATATTACCTTCATCGGTCTATAAATGACGAACTTATGAACAAAGGAATTTCGGAACTTCAAGGGTCTATATTTTGGGATGTTTGGCTTCTCCAATATCATAACATTTCCTGATAGGGGAGACGAGACCTACGTGTGGTAAAAATGTCATCCGAGATGAACCTCTGAAATCATACTGTTCCCTTTTTAGTATATATGTACATAGAATTACATTTTGAGTCGATTTATGCACTTTGTTCCGTTCATGTATAATTTTAAACAAGTTACAGGTCACCTTTATGATCCGAATGGGATAAAATTTGGTACACTCCATCCGATAGGGCGAAACTTTATTTGGCACAAAGACGAGCCCAATTGATATTGGTCAAAATATTTTTTTTACAGTAAACTTATGTTAGCAACAGCGAATTTTTTCATTTTGTACTACCGGGTCCCCCCCGAAAAGAAATCCTGTGTACGTTGCTGATAGATCCCGTATATTGTTCTTTGTTTATTTACACCTAATGTTACATTACGCAAGAGTTTTCCCTAGACCGAAGTTTCCTTAATTTCAAAAATTTGTAGCCTTTACCAATGCCCACTCTGCGGTATAGCCTACTATTCTCTATAGCATAATTCGTCTCGACATGCTTCGTTTCGTTGGCTTCTCCTAACTCTTAACCATTTAAAATATTGAAAAACATGTTTTATCTTACTATCAGAATTTTGTTGTTGATAAACTCAGTCATTTATATTTTTTATTAATACGAGAAAATTTTCGGTTGTCTTGATGATAGTATTGGAATTTTGCTCATCTTCACACCAGATCGACGTTTCTTTGTCGACCTCGCATCGCATCGACATTTAAATATTCTATTTGGAGTCGTCGACACAAGACGACGTCGTTTATTGTTAATACGATTTCTCATTGTCAATATTGACATTAATCGACAACTATCGATATAGCTTGGTGACAACGATGTCGCCTTGAATTGACTCTGATTTGACTCTGACGACTTGAATTTATTTAGTGTTTTTTTTTTACAAAATATAAAATAAAATTCAAAAATCTCAAAAAATTTTTATAATAATTTCTAGACAATTCTATGATATAGTTAAAGAATTGGAAAATAATTATTTAGGGAGCACAATTTTATGTCTAGTTCATTCAAAGTGAACTAAAGCGATCGGAACATTTAATAATATTATTACAAAAAAAATGTAAGAGTATAATAATTAACAATATAATTTAAAAATCAGGTACATATTAAAACAACTGTTATGTAAAGATGTATATATAACAGAATTATTAAAAACAATGGTAAGGACATTTATAGTCGTTTCAGGATTTTCATTACAAAGTTGGATATGCCATCCTGGTCAATGGATTTCTCGTTATTCACACATGAAATATGGTATTTGACAGTTAGAGAAATGATAAGTACCTTTATTGTTCAAAGAGTTGAATTCTTCATTGAAGGAATAAATATGGTTGGTACGGGTGATAAATGACTACTGAAAATACTCAGGAAATGATCATGAAAAATATTCACATTCTCGTCTTATTCTGAATGAATAGGGAGACGTAAAAATGTAATTTAAGTTGCAATGTGTGTTGCCCCATTGTAATTTAATTTTGTAATATTTTTCAATATTTTATTTATCGATTTTTTTATGAAAAAATTTTCCTTTTTATTGTTATTTAAACTTTATAGCAATACAAATGTGAAATATCAAGAATCCGCTATATAACTGCTTTGTAAGTAAAAGAAAATAAATTAAAGATTGAAAATATGGCGACATACAATATGACATGAGAAACAGTTTATTGTTTTGATGCAATTTAGTGTAACAACTACAACAGATTACAAATAAAAGAAAATATTTTATGATGGCAAAAAGCGCATTGACACAACGAATAATAGGAAAAAAATTGCGATTAAATTATTTAATTCCCAGTTTATTATTTAACTACATAATTGTGTACCATTTTATTTAATTTCGATATTTTATTTCTCCAAATTCTTAAAGTAGCAAATTATTTTTATGATATGCTCCTTCCCCTTTATTTTGTCCTTCAAATTATATTTAGCGACTCATTAGGCAAATTTGGCAATGTGCTTTTCCGTAATTTTTAATTTTTGTTTTTGAAGGGACATATCTTCACCCAAAATGTCTTTATTTCATCTCCTAATTGCATCAAACTTAAATATTCCTTATTACCTTTATACATTCCGTGGCAAAATTGGGTGGAGCATACATCGTAATCTATAGGATTTCCAATGGCATTTTTTGTTGTTTTCGATTTAAAAATTGTCTACAATCATATATAATATTCTAAATCGTCATAAGTATTGTATATATATTTTTTTTCATAAAAATATTTATTAAGTTTTTGTAGTCAGCGAAAAAATTCGCACAAAATGTCATCTCATTCTCCTACTCCCTGTAATGCAAAATAACTAATTTTTCCCCAAAGCGGATATTTTTGCTTTGGAACTTCAT